TGTTCTCTTGCGCTCCAGTAGAGAATGGCCGACGATGTGGTTTCAGTATCCATGTGCATAAGGTATGGAAAGCGGAGCGACACGCTCTGACATTGCTGGATATCGTGCAGCGTAGCACCGGGTTCTGCTGGAGTATGGATTAATGTTTGAGTCGGACTGGGATAGGGTGCGGGGATGCGAGGAAGCATGTGCTACAGGGGTGCGTAATTCGGTTGTGGACGAGAGACCGCCGCTCGTAGACTGCAAAGAATGGGGACCGTCTTCTGTTTGGTTCGGCACCGGTAGATGGGTGGCGGCGAGGCGCCCTGCGAATACATGACACACTGCTGCGCTGAATCCCAGCCGCCTCCTAGCTAATCTGTAAAGAGAAAATCGGCGTCTTTGGCGCGTAATAGCAGCACACAAACGCAGGTGGGATAAGACAGAAAGCGGCGTTGACGGCGCTATGCACTCTTACATGGCAGCCTGCTGTCTACCCCAGATCCGCTGGATTATATTTCCGTGCGCAGGGAGTTGACCGGCACGAGCTGGGAGAGAAAGGACTCCCTGCATCGGGAGATGAGCGCGTGATCGAAGACAACCGTCTTCTCGATGCACCGCAGACCGAATGTACTGAGCACCTATATTTGTGACTGTTTACCTGTCGCATGGGCGAATGTCGGGGTTCGAGCACGGCGGCAAGGCGCAGAATTCCCCGCGTCGCAATGCAGCTCGTCTCAATGGCCGTAGAACGCGGATCTCTTCGTCCATAGAGGGAGTGTCCAGATCCATTGCGATTTGCTTCGGGCGTTTCGATGTTCTGGCTCGCCAAATGTAAGCCTTTACCAATCAGCGGGGCTCTCTGCGTGGCTACTGGCCAAGCCGGTTGGACGGGGCGTGGCCCAAAACCACAAACGGTCCAACGTGGGCTCCCTTACAATAGCGAAACGACTGGTATGACGCGCCGATATGAAAACCGGTCTTCACGACAGGGTAATGCAAGACGTACCCAGTAGCGCTGTGGATGGACGCGAGGTCCTTGCAAGTCCTGAAAAGTCGTCGACTCTCCCTCAATGATGGACTACGGCTACGAAAGGCATGACGCGGAAAGGTGTGCCCGATTTGCGTGGAGAGACCTGTTACTGCTTAGTACTTGACCTGGACGCCTATACATTTCTCTCTCGCCATTGCATACTCTAGCGCAAGTATACCGCAGTTGGGCCCTGCGCCGCCTTGCAAAGTCGCTGTGTCTTCACGTCCGCTGAACACGCTGTCGGCAGGCAACACGCTGCCCTCACTCAGAATGTGTTGAGGGCCCTCCCCTCGCACGCGAGCCCCCATGAATCAGCGTCGGCATCGTCGTCTATCCACCTCTGCGTTGAGATGGGGCCCGCATGCATACATGCGTACGCTGTGCGCCGCTCGGGATGTAGCCTCTGCTGTCCGCGTGCGGAGGGGAGTGTAGCGCAAAGATATGCACCTCATCGAAGTAGCGTCGCACGGCCCACTCAGGTTTCTCGTGTGTAAGCTCCCCGCACGTCTCACGGCTTGGCCCCCACGTAGCATTCCGGACACGTGACAAACGCAACAACCGCAGGCCTTCTCTCGTGTTCCGCTTCTTTAAGCGTTGCGGTCCCGGTACAGTCGACGGCCGCTGAAAGGGTTCCTGTGAGAATGTGTACCCGTAGCAGGCGATACCAGCTAAGCAAGGCGCTATTGGCTGCTCGACCTGCTGGGAGTTTGACTCCGCGGTAGTGCGAGGTAGAGTGAGTGCTGCCTTGCAGTCAACCTTTGGAAGTGGGAATCGAAGGGAAGACGCGGCGACCGACAGTCTACGAAGACGTGGCCGTAGCGACAGCTATACTGCATCATCGAAGTCAGCGGCTTGTCTGATTACGTGTACACGGGACAGGGGCGGGGCTTATGTTGCTCGTGAGGAGCAGCACGCTGAGGATTTCAGCCGCCCGGTGTAATAAGCATAGGTGTCCATCCCAACATGATATGAAGAGCATATCCTGGCGCCAATAGCCTGTGAGTCACACCAGTGCAGCATCTACAAGGCGAACGTGACGTCGGTGTAAAACGAAAAGGGCGGAAGCCCCCGGACTAGGAAGCCTGCCGTGTTCATCTCCTCCTGTAGGTGTGACGGGAACCAGACGATATATTTGTGCGTCTGCCTGACTTTTTCTTGGCGCGCCGGAAGCCGAGGCGGCCGGTCCCCAAACGTCGGTATCCGCCTAGGTGGGCCCTCGACACAGACCTCTGTCAGAACATCACAGCCGCATCGCTGACCGTGCCCTGCATCGTTAACCTCTGTCCGTCGTCCCTCCTAGCAGAAAGAGTGGCCAAAACCGGCGCGCAGCGTGGCCTGATCTGCGCCTACTGCTCTCTAGGTTCAAACTTCGGCGCTGTAGCGAAAGCTCTGAGGTCCAAAGTGATGGTCGCCGTGTAATTTGGTACGGACCATACGTTGAGTGAGTCCTGCGGTGAGTGAAAAAAATTTCTCTGAGATGATGATGGCTGCGAAGGAGTTCAGTGTGAAGACAACTGTCAGATCATGTTCAGTTGTTGGATGGAAGAGAATCGCCAACGATGTCGTTCCAATCTGCATGGAGCCACAAGGCATGGCAAACGGAGCAACACGGTCTGGCATTGCTGGGTATCGTGCCGCGTAACACGGGTTCTTGCTGGAGTCTGGATTAATGCTTGAGTAGGTGTGGAATAAGATGCGGAAACGTGAACACACCTGTGCTACGGGGTTGCGTAATTCGGTTTTAGACGAGAGACCGCCGCTCGTAGACAGCAAAGAATGAGGGCATCTTCTGTTCGGTCCGATACGGATAGATGCGTGGCGGCGAGCCGCCCTGCGAACACATGTCACACTGCTGCGCTGAACCGCAGTCGGCCCCCAGTGCATCTGTAAAGAGGAAGTCGACGTGTCTTGCGCTTAGTGGCGGCGCACAAGCGCAGGTGGAATAAAATAGCAGGCGACACTGACGGTGCTATGCACTCCAACGTGGCAGCGTGCTGTCGGCCCGAGACGCGCTGCAGGGACGCAACGCCGCATAGGGCAGTGGGGACGCCAAGCGGGCGGGACAAGTACGCGGTACTGGCGGTGGAGTGTTTGGTGTACGGAATCTTCTGTAATCTCTCTGATCAGGAGTCAGCGCATATTTCCGTGCTCACGCAGCTGACCGGCATGAGCTGGCAGAGGGAGGACTTCCTGCATCGGGGAATGAGCGTGCGATCGAAGACAACCGTGCTCCCATTGCACGGCCGACCGAATGCGCTGAGCAGCTATACCTGTGAATATTTCTCTGTCGCATGGGCGACAGCTGGAGTGTCAGCACGGCGGCTACACGTAGAATTCTCGGCGTCACAACACGTCTTGCCTCCATGGCCATAGGACGCAGATCTGTGGGTGCACAGAGGAGGTGTCGACATACATTCCGTTTTGCCTCATGCATTCCGATGTTGTGGCACGCCAAATATAAGCCTTTACCAATCTAGGGTGCTCTCTGGGTGGCTATGGCGCAAGCTTGTTGGACGAGTACCTCGAACCCACAGAGTTTCCAATGTGGGATCCGCTTCAGCAACGAATGGACTGATATGATGCGCCGATATGCAGACCGGTATTCACGACCCCGTAATGCGAGACATACCCAATAGCACAGTGAACGGACGCGAGGTCCTTACGTGTCCTAAGAAGCTGTCGACTGCTGCTCGACAAAGGAATACGGCTACGGAAGACATGAAGCAGAAAGGTCTTCCAGATTCGCGTGGAAAGTTTGGTTTCTGCTTACTGGTTGAGCAGGGTGCCTTTACAGTTCAATCTAGCAGTTGCATACTCTAGGGCGAGTATTCCGCAATTGCGCCCTGCGTCGCTTTGCGAAGTAGCTGTGTCTTCATGTCCACCGAACACAAACCGGCTGTGAGCATACAACACGTTGTTCTCACACAGAATGTATTGAGCGTCTCTGACTCCCACGCAAGCTCTCATGAAGCAGCGTTGGCGTCGCCGTCTGGCGACTTCCGCGTTGAGGGGGAGGTTCACTGCCATCGATGCATACGCTGTGCGGCGCTCGGGATGTAGCGTCGGGTGTTGAAATGCACCGAGGAGCGTGATGCAGAGATCTCACCCTCACCTAAGTGGCGTCAAGCGGCCCAGTCAAATCTCTCGTGTGTAAGCTCCGCGCCCGTCTCACGCTTTTGGTTGCCACGTAGCGTTCCGGGCACGCCTTAACCGCAACAACCGCGCGCCCCCGTCGCGTTCTGCTGCTTTAAACGTTGCGGTCCTGGTACAGCGAGCAGCCGCTGAGAGGTTTGCTACGACAGTGTACACGCGTAGCAGGCAATACAAGCGAAGTAAGGGCACCGTTGGCTGCTCGACCTGCTGGGGGGGTTGACACCGCGGTAGCGCAAGGTAGCGTGAGTGCTGTCTTGCAGTCAACCGTTAGAGGTCGGAAATGAGCGGGAGCCGCGGGTACTGACAGCCGAGGAAGACGCGGCCGCCGTGACAGCTAGACTGCATCACCGGAGCCGGGGCCTTGTCTGATTACGCGTACACGGATCGGAGGAGGAGTGTATGTTGCTCGTGAGCAGCAGGTCGCTGAGCACTTCAGTAGCCCTGTATGATGAGCATAGCTGTGGAGCCGAACATGATATGCTGAGCATGCCCTGACGCCAACAGGGAGTAAGCCGCACGAATGCAACGTCTACAAGGCGAACGTGAGGTCGCTGACGGAGGAAAAGGGCGCAAGCAGCCTGAGTAGGCACCCTGCCGTGTTCGTCTTCTCCTGTGCTTGTTGCAGGAACCAGACGATATATTCGTGCGTCCCCCTGACACAGTGCATTTTCCATGGAGCGCGGGAAGCCGAGGCAGCTGGTCACCAAACGTCGGTATGCGCTTGGGTGGCTCCTCGTTACAGACCCCTGTCAGAAGGTCACAGCCACGTCGCTGACCGTGCCTCGCATCGTTAGCCTGTGTCCGCCACCCCTTCTTGCGGAGATAGCGGATCACAAGTTGCCAGAACAGGCGCGAAGTGTGCAGTGATTTGCACCCACTGCTCTCTAAGATTATAATTCGGTGCTGCAGTGAATGTCCTGAGTACGAGAGTGACGGTCGCCGTGTAATTTGGAAGGACCCAGCCGTTGAGGCACTTCTGCGGCGACAGAAGAGCATTTGTCCTGGGTGGTGATGACTGAGGACGATTTGGGTGTGGAGACATTTGTTAGATCATGTTACTCAGAGATGCCGTAGAGAATCGCCCGCGGTGTCGTTCCGATCTGCATGGAGCCATAAGATATGGCAAACGGAGAGACACGGTCTGACATTGCTTGGTATCGCGCTGCGTAACACGGGTTTCTACTGGAGTATGGATTAGTGCTTCAGAAGGAGCGGGATACGACGCGGGGACGGGAGCAAATATGTCCTACGGGGGTGCGTAATTCGGTGATGGAGGAGAAACTGGCACTTGTAGACGGCAAAGAATGGGGACCATCTTCTGTTCGGTTCAATACTGGTAGATGGAAGGCGGCAAGGCGCCCTGACAATACGTGCCACGCTGCTGCACTGAGGCGCCGCCGGTCCCCAGTGAATCGGTATAGAGGGAGTCGGCGTCTCTTGCGCATATTGGTGGGAAACAAGCGCAGGTGGCACGAAACAGCAGGCGACATTGACGGTGCTATGCACCCTTACGTGGGACCCTGCTGTCGACCCGAGATGCGCTGGAGGGACGCAACGCTGTATAGGGCAGTGGGGATGCCAGGCTGGCGGGACAAGCACGTGATAATGGCGGTGGGCTGTTCTATGCACGGGACCGTCTGCAGTCACTCTGATCCGTCGCCAGCGCATAGTTCCGCGCTCACGAAGCTGACTGGCATGGGCTGGCGGAGGGAGGACTCCGTGCATTGAGAAATGAACGTGCGATCGAAGACACCTGTCCTCTCACTGCATCGCCGACGGCATGTGCTGAGCACCTCTATTTGTCATTGTTTATCTGTCGCATGAGCGACAGCGGGAGTGCGATGACGGCGGCAACGCCTAGAATTCTCGGCGTCGCAGCGCAGCTTGTCTCCATGGCCGTAGGACGCAGATCTCCGGGTCCACAGAGGGGATGCCGAGATTCATTCGGTTTTGCTTCGAGCACCTCGATTTTCTGCCAAGCCAAATATAAGCCTTTACCGATCCGCGAGGCTATTTGTCTTGCTCTAGCGCAGATCTGTTGGAAAAGGCGTACTGCCAACCCACAAATGATACAGCGTGGTATCCGATTCAGCAGCGAAGGGATTGATGTGGCGCTCCGATATGCAGTCCGGTCCTCACGACCCGATAATGCGAGACATACCCAGTAAGACAGTAAATTGACGCGAGGTCCTTGCATACCCTGAAACGCTCTCGACTGTTCCTTAACAAAGGAGTACGGCTGCGAAAGGCATGACGCGGAATGGTGTGCCAAATTCTTATGGAACGGTGCGTTCTTGCTTAGTACTTGAGCAGGACGCCACTACATTTCTGTCTCGCGGCTGCATACTCTAGACCGACTATCCCGCAATTGCGCCCTGCGCAACCCTGCGAAGTCGCTGTATGTTCGTGTCCAACCAACACTAACGGGCTGTGGGCATGCAACACGTTGCTGTCGCACAGAATGTATTGAGGGTCCCTGACACGCACGCGAGCCCTGATGCGCCAGTGTCGGCGTCGCCGTCTAGCGACCTCCGCTCTGAGAGAGAGGCCCACTTCCATCCATGCATACACTGTGCGCGGCTCGGGACGTAGCGTCTGGTGTGGAGACGCACCGAGGTGTGTAACGCAAACGTATTCCCCTAACTGAAGTGGCGTCACGCGGCCCAGTCGGACCCCTCGTGTGTAACCCCCCCCCACGTTCCACGGCGTGGCCCCCACGTACCCTTCCGGGCACGCCGCAACCGCAACAACCGCACGCCTTCTGTCGTCTACTGCCGCTTTGAGCGTTGCGGTCCTTGTACAGCGAACGGCCGCTGAGTGGTTTCCTGTAAAAATGTGCACGCATTGCAGGCGATACCAGCGAAGTAAGAGCGTCGCTGGCTGCTCCCCCAGCTGGGCGGTTGTCACCGCGGTAGTGCGAGGTAGAGTGAGTGCTGTCTTGCAGTCAACCGTTGGAGGTGGGAAGTAAACGGGAGCCCGGGTACCGACAGCCTAGGAAGACGTGGCCGCCGGAACATCTAGAGTCCATTACGAAGCCCGCGCCTTGTCTGATTACGCGTACACGGATTGGGAGTGGGGCTCATGTTGCACGTGAGAAACAGCATGCTGAGGACTTCAGCCGCCCTATGTGGTGAACATATTAGCGAAGGCGAACATGATATGCAGAGAGTGTCCTTGCACCAACCCAGCCTGTAAGTTACACCACTGCAGCATCTACAAGGCGACCGTGAGGTCGCTGACGGAGGAAAAGGGCGGAAGCCGCCGGACTAGGAAGCCTGCCCTGGTCATCTCCTCCTGTGCGTGTGATAGCAACCAGACGATCTATTCACACGTCCGCCAGACATAATACATTTTCCGTGGTGCTCCGGATGCTGAGGCAGCTGGTCGCTAATCTTCGGTATCCGCCTGGGTGTGACCCCGCCACAGACCTCTGTCACAGGCTTTTCGCCTCATCGCTGACCGTGCCTCGAGTCGTCAACCAGCGTCCCCCGTCCCTTTTAGCAGAAAAGGTGGGTCGCACTTTGTCAACATCAGCGCGCAGTGTGCACTGATCTCCATTTCTTTTCTCTAGGGTCAAACTTCGGCGCTGGAAGCGAACGCTGTGAGTTGGAAAGTGACGGTCGCCGTGTAATCTGGAACGCAGCACCCGCTGAGGGACTTCTGCGGCAACAGAAAAGCACTTGTCTGAGATGTTGATGACTGCGAAGGAGTTCGGTGTGGAGAGAACTGTCGGATCATGTTCTCTTGTGGTACCGTAGGGAATCGCCGATGATGTCGTTCCAGTCTGCATGGAGCCGTAAGGTAGCACACACGGAGAGACACGGTCTGACATTGCTGGGTACCGTGCTGAGGAACACGGGTTTCTGGTGGAGTATGGACTGATGTTTGAGAAGGAGTGGGATACGATGCGGGAATGAGAGCAAACATATGGTACAGGGGTGCGTGTGTCCGTCGTAGACGAGAGACCGCCACTCCTAGACGCCAAAGAATAGGCACCGATACGGGTAGATGGGTGGCGGCGATCCGCCCTGCGAATACATGCCGCACTGCAGCGCTGAACCGCGGCCAGCCCTGAATTAATCTGTAAAGAGGTAGTCGGCATCTCTCCCGCTTATTGGCGGCACACAAGCTCAGGCGTAATGAAACAGCAGGCGACACTGACGGTCCTGTGCACTCTTGCTTGGCAGCGTGTTGTCGATCCAAGATGCGCTGGAAGAACGCGCCGCTGCATAGGGCAGTGGAGATGCCAAGCTGGCGGGACAAGCTCGTGATAATGGCGGTGGAGTGCTTGGTGTACGAAGCCGTTTGTTATCTACCAGACCCGGCGCCAGTGCACATTTCCGTGCCAAGGGAGCTGATCCGCATGAGGTGGCAGAGGGAGGACTTCTTGCATCTAGAAATGAGCGTGCGAGCAAAGACAACTGTCCGCTCACTGCACCGCCAAGCGAACATGCTGATGCGCTACATTTGTGACTATTTATGTGTCTCACGGGCGACAGCGCGAGTTTGAGCACGCCCGCAATGCGTAGAATTCTCGGCGTCGCAAGGCAGCTTGTCTCCATGGCCGTAGGACGCAGGTCTCTTGGTCCACAGAGGGGGTCTCGAGATTCATTCCGTTTTGCTTCGGCCGTTGCGATGTTGTGGCACGCCAAATATAAGCACTTAACAATCAGCGGGGCTCTCTGTGTGGCTACTGCGCAGATTTGTTGGAGAAGGCGGATCTCCCACCCAAAAAGGTTCCAACGTGGGTCTCCTTCCAACAGCAAAGGTATTGATATGACGCGCCGATATGCAGATAGGTCTTCACGACCGGGTAACGCGAGTAACACAGTGAATGGACGCGATGTCCTTGCATGTCCTGCAAAAATCGTCGCCTGTCCCTCGACAACGTACTACGGCTACGAAAGGCATGACGAGGAGGGGTGTGCCCGATTCGCCTGGAGAGGTTAGTTTCAGCTTAGTACTGGAGCAGGACGCCACTACATTTCTTTCTCGCCGGTGGGTACTCTAGGGCGACTATTACGCAATTGCGCCCTGCGCCGCCCTGCGAAGTTGGTGTGTCTTCATTTTCACCGAGCACCAACGGAATCTGAGCAGGCAACACGTTGCTCTCACACAGAATGTATTCAGGTTGTCCGACAGGCACGCAAGCCCTGATGCGCCAGCGTGATCGTCGCCGTCTAGCGACCTCCGCGTTGAGAGGGATGCCGACCTGCATATACGCATACGCTGTGCGCTGCCCGGGATCGAGCGCCTGGTGTCGACGTGCACAGGGGAGTGTAGCGCAAAGGCATGCACCTCACCGCAGTAGCGTCGCACGGCCCACTTAGGTCTCTCGTGTGTAAGCTCCCCGCACGCCTCACGGCTTGGCCCCCACGTAGCACTCGGCACACGCGGCGAACGCAGCAACCGCAGGCCTTCTCTCGTGTTCCGCTGCTTTGAGCGTTGCGGTCCCGGTACAGCCGACGGCCGCTGACTGGGTTCCTGTGAGAATGTCTACTCGTAGCAGGCGGTACCAGCTAAGAAAGGCGCTATTGGCTGCTCGACCTGCTGGGCTGTTGACACTTCGATTGTGGGAGGTAGAGTGAGTGCTGTCTTGCAGTCATCCTTTGGAGGTGGGAAGTAAACGGAAGCCGCGGCGACCGAGAATCTAGCAAGACGTGGCTGCGGCGACAGTTAGACTGCATCACCGAGGCCGGGGCCTTGTCTGATCACGTGTAGAGCGAATGGGTGTGCGGCTCCTGTTGCTCGTGAGAGGCAGTGCGCCGAGGACTTCAGCCGCCCTGTGTGGTGAGCAGAGTTGTGGAGCCGAACGTGATATGCAGAGCATCTCCTGGCGCCAAAAGCCTGTAAGTCACACCAGTGCAGCGTCAACAAGGCGAACGTGAGGTCGCGGCGGGAGGAACAGAGCGGGACCCGCCGCACCAGAAAGCCTGCCGTGTTCGTCTCCTCCTGTGCGTGTGATAGGAACCAGACGATATATTCGTGCGTCTTCCTGACAGAATTCACTTTCCCTGGGGCGCCGGAAGCCCAGGCAGCTGGTTTCTAAGCGCCGATATCCGCCCGGATGCGCCGTCGCCACAGACCTCTGTCACAGGATTGCAGCCTCATCGCTGACCGTGCCTCGCGTCGTCGACCTGCGTCCCCCGTCCCTTCCAGCTGAAGAAAAGCGGACCAAACGTTGCCAATTCCAACGGGCAGTGTGCAGTGACCTGCAGCTTTTTTCCTCTAGGGTCAAACTTCGACGCTGGAAGCGAACGCTGTGAGTTGGAAAGTGACGGTCGCCGTGTAATTTGGAATGGAGCACCCGCTGAGGGACTTCTGCGGCAACAGAAAAGTACTTGTCTGAGATCTTGATTGCCGCGAAGGAGTTCGGTGTGGAGACAACTGTCAGATCATGGTCACGTGTGGTATCGTAGAGAATCGCCGACGGTGTTGTTCCAGTCTGCATGGAGTCATAAGGTACGGCAAACGGAGAGACACGGTCTGACATTGCTGGGTTTCGTGCTGCGGAACACGGGTTTCTGATGGGATATGGATTAATGTTTGGGGAGGAGTGGGATACGATGGGGGGAGGGGAGCAAATATATGCTACGGGGGTGCGTGTGTCCGTCGTAGACGAGAGACCGCCGCTCCTAGACGCCAAAGGAGAAGCACCACCTTCTGCTTGGTTCGATTCGGGCAGATGAGTGGCGGCGAGGCCGCCTGCGAATACACGCCACACTGCGGCGCTGAACCGTCGACGGCCCGCTCTGATTTTGTAAAGAGGAAGTCGGGGTCTCCCACGCTTACTGGCGGCACACAAGCGCAGGTGGGTCAAAAGAGCAGGCGACAGTGACGGTGCTATATGCACTCCCACTTGGAAGTGTGCTGTCGACCCGAGATGCGCTGAAAGGAAGCAGCGCCGCTTAGGACAGTGGGAATTGCAAGCAGGCGGGAAAAGCACGTGATAATGGCGGTGGAGTGTTTGGTGTACGAAGTCGTGTGTTATCTCCTAGATCCGGCGCAAGCGCATATTTCCGTGCCCAGGGAGCTTATTGGCAGGAGCTGGCGGACGGAGGACTTCCTGCATCGAGAAATAAGCTTGCGGTAAAAGACAACTGTCCGCTCACTGCATCGCCGACCGAATGTGTTGAGCACCTATACTTGTGACTATTTACCTATCGCATGGGCGACAGCGGGCGTTCGAGCGCGGCGGCAACGCGTAGAGTTCCCCGCCTCGCAACGCACGTTACCTTCACGGCTGTAGGGCGAAGATCTCTGGGTCCACAAGGCGGGCGCCGAGACTGTTTTCGTTTCGCTTCGGGAGTTTCGTTGTTGTGGCACGCCAGACGTAAGCCTTTAGCAATCGGCGAGACTCTCTGCGTGGCTGCTGGGCAGTCTTGTCGGACGACGCGTACCTCAGTTCCACAAAAGATTTAACGTGGGATCCCCCTCAATAGCCGGGCGACTTGTATGACGCGCCGATATGCAGACCGGTCTTCATGACCGGGGAACACGAGACATATCCTCCACCACAGTGAATAGACGCGAGGTCCATGCGTATCCTGAAAGGCTGTCGACTGTTCCTCGACAAGGGACTACGGCGACGAAGGGCATCACGCGGAAAGGTGTAACCGATTCGCCTGGAGAGGTTCGTTTCTGCTTACTATTTGAGCAGGACGCCTCTACATTTCTATCTCGCCGCTGCATTCTCTAGTTCAAGTATGCCGCAATTGCCCCCTGCGTCTCCCTGCGAAGTCGCTGTGTCTTCATGACCGGCGAACACGAACAACCTTTGAGCAGGCAACATGATGCTGTCACACAAAATGTACTGAGGGCCTTCGCCTCGCACGCGAGCTCTCAATACATCAGCGGCGGCATCGTCGTCTATCGACGTCCGCGCTGAGATGCGGACGACGTGCATACATGCATACGCTGTGCTCCGTCGGGATGGAGCACTTGGTCCTTGCGTGCGCAGGGGCGTGTAGCGCAAAGGTATGCCCCTCACTGAGGTGGCATGCAGCCGCTCACTCGGATGTCTCGCTCGTAAACTCCCCGCGCGTCTCACGCCTTGGCCCGTACGTAGAATTCCGGGCACGCCGCAACCCCAACAACCGCACGCCTTCTGCCGTGCTCTGCTGCTTTGAGCGTTGCGGTCCCGGTACAGCGAACGGCCGCCGACAGCGTTCCTGTGAGAATGTACACGCGTAGTAGGCAATACGAGCGAAGTAAGATCGCTGTTGGCTGCCCGACCTGCTGGGGGCTTGACACCGCGGTAGCGCAAGGTAGAGTGAGTGCTGTCTTGTGGTCAACCTTTGTAGGTGGGAAGTTAGCAGGAGCCGCGGGTACCGACAGCCGAGGAAGAACCGGTCACCACGACAGCTAGACTGCATCACCGAGGCCGGGGCCTTGTCTCATTACGTGTACAGGGAATGGAGCAGCGGCTTATGTTGCTGGTGACGAGCTGCTCGCTCAGAACTTCAGTAGCCTTGTGTGATGAGCGTAGCTGTGGAGACGAACATAATATGCAGAGCAGACCCTGCCGCCAACAGGGAGTAAGTGACACCAATGCAGCATCTACAAGGCGAACGGGAGGTCGCGGACGGAGGAGAAGGGCGGACGCAGCGAGACTAGGAAGCCTTCCGTGTTCATCTCCTTCTGTGCGTGTGCCAGGAACCCGACGACGTATTACTGCGTCCCCCTGACAGAATGCCTTGTCCGAGGCGCGCCGGAAGCCGAGCCAGCTGGTCCCTAAACGCCGATATCCGCTTGGGTGGGCCCTCGCCACAGACTTTTGTCAGAAGACCACAGCCACATCCTTGACCGTGCCTCCTACCCCTAACCTGTGTCCGCTGTCCCTTCTACCAGAAAAGTGGACCACACCTTGCTAAAACCGGCGCGCCGTGTGCACTGATTTACATTCCTTGTTCTCTAGAATCAAGCTTTGCCGCTGCCGCGAAAGCTGTGCGTTCGAAAGTGATGGTCCCCGTGTAATTTGGAAAGGACCATCCGTTGAGGGACGTCTGCGGCGACAGAAGACTGTTTCTCCGAGATGGTCATGACTCCTTAGGAGCTCGATGTGGAGACAACTGTCAGATCATGTTCTCTTGTAGTCTCGTATAGAATTGCCCGCGGTCTCGTTCCAGTTTGCATGGAGCCATAAGGTATGGCAAACGGAGAGACACGGTCCGACATTGCTGTGTATCGTGCCGCGGAACACGGTTTTCTGCTGGAGTATGGACTAAGGTTTAAGTACGTGTGGGATAGGATGGAGGGACGTGAGCAAACATATACTGCGGGGATGCGCATGTCGGCTGTGGACGAGAGGGCGCCGCTTGTAAACGACAAAAAACGGGGACCATCTTCTGTTCGGTTCTATACGGGCGCATGAGTGGCGGCGAGGCGCCCTGCGAACTCGTGCCACACTGCTGCGCTGAGCCGCCGCCGGCACACAGTGAATCTGTAAAAAGGGAGTCGGCGTCTCTCGCGCATATTGACGGTATGCAAGCGCAGGTGGAATGAGATAGCACGCGAGATTGACGGTGCTATGCACTCTGACGTGGCAGCGTGCTGTCGACCCGAGATGCGCTGGAAGGACGCAACGCTGCATTGGGCAGTGGGGATGCCAAGCTGGCGGGGCAAGCACGTGATAATGACGGTGAAGTGTTCTGTGTACGGAGTCGTCTGTAATCTCCCTGATCCGGCACCAGCGCATACTTCCGTGCCGATGGAGCTGATTGGCGGGAGGTGGCAGAGGGAGGAATTCCTGCATCGAGAACCACGCTTGCGATCCAAGACCACAGTCCTACCACAGCGCCGCCGACCGAATGTGCTGAGCACCTCCATCTGCGATTGTTTATCTGTCGCATGGGCGACAGCGGGAGCTCGAGCAAGGCAGCAACGCGTAGGATTCCCGGCGTCGCAATGCTGCTCGTCTCCATGGCCGGAGGACGCAGATCTCTGGGTCCATAGATGGGGTGTCAAGATCCATTCCCTTCTGCTTCGGGCGTTTCCATGTTCTGGCACGCCAAATATAGGCGCTTATCAATAAGCAGCGCTCTCCGCGTGACTAGTGGGCAATATTGTTGGACAAGGCGTACTTTAAACCCACAAAAACTCCCATGTGTGTCCCTTTCGACAGCGAAGGGACTGGAATGGCGCGCCGATATGCAGACCGGTCTTCACGAAACCGGTAATGCGACACATATCCAGCATCACAGTGAATGGACGCGAGGCCCATGCGTATCCAGAAAAGCCGTAGACTGTCCCTCGACAAAGGAGTACGGCCAGGAAAGGCATGACGCGGAGAGATGTCCCCAATTTGCCTGCAGAGGTCCGTTGCTGCTCAGTACTTGAGCAGGACGCCTCTACATTTCTATCTCGCCGTTGCATACTCTAGAGCGAGTATTCCGCGATTGCACCCTGCGCCTCCCTGCGAAGTCGCTGTGTCTCTAGGTCCGTAAAACATGAACGAACTGTGAGCAGACAAGACGTTGCTCTCACTCAGAATGTGTTGAGGACCCTCGCCTCGCACGCGAGCTCTCATGAAACAGCGTCGGCATCGTCGTCTATCGATCTCCGCGGTGAGATGCGGCCGACATGCATACATGCATACGCTGCGCGCCGCTCGGGATGTAGCACCTCGTGCCGACGTGCGCAGACGATTGAAGCGCAAAGGTGTGCCCCTGACTCAGGTGGCGTCGCACGGACCAACCAGATCTCTCGTGTGCAAGCTCCCTGCACGCCTCACGCTTCGGTCCCCACGTAGCGCTTCGGACACGCCGCAAACGCAACAAGCGCACGCCTTTTGCCGCGTAGTGCCGCTTCAGGCGTTGCGGTCCCGGTACACTAGACGGCCGCTCACAGGTTTCCTGTGAGAATGTGCACGCGTAGACGGCCATGTCAGCGAATTAAAAGCGCTGCTGGCTGCTCGACCTGCTGGGGAATTGGCACGGCGGTAGCGAACGGGAGAGTGAGTGCTGTCTTGGAGTGAACCGTTGGAGGTCGGAAGTAAGCGGGAGCCGCGGCGATCGACAGCCGAGGAAGATGTGGCCGCCGCGACAGTTAGACTGCATCACCCAAGCCGGCGCTTTTTCTGATTACGCGTACATGGAATGCGGTTGGGGATTATGTTGCTCGTGAGAAACAGCAAGCTGAGGACTTCAGCCGCCCTATGTGATGAGCATAGGTGTGGAGCCGAACATGATGCGCAGAGCATGTCCTGGCACCAACAGCCTGTAAGTCACCCCCATGCAGCATCTACAAGGCGAATGTGAGGCCGCGGACGGAGGGAAAGGGCGAAAGCAGCCGGACTAGGAAGCCTGCCGTGTTCATCTCCTCCTGTGCGTGTGACAAGAACCAGACGGTATATTCGTGCGTCTGCCGGAAAAAATACATTTAACCTAGGAGGCCGGAAGCCACGGTAGCTGGTCTCTAAACGTCGGTATCCTCCTGGGTGGGCCGTGGCCACAGTCGTCTACTAGAGGGTTTCAGCCTCACCGCTGACCGTGCCTGGCCTCGTCGACCTGCGTCCGCCGTTCCTTCTAGCAGAGAAACATCAACCACACGTTGCAAACACCAGCGCGCAGTGTGCACTGATCTACATCCCTTGCTCTCTAATATCGTATTTCGGCGCTGCAGCAAGAGCTCTGAGTTCGAAGGTGACGGTCACCGTTTAATTTGTAACGGACCACCCGTTGAGGTGCTTCTCCGGTGACAGAAGAGCACCCGTCTGAGACGGCGATGACTGCGAAGGAGTTAGGTGTGGAAGCAACTGTCAGATCGTGCTCTCCTGTGGTCCCGTAGAGAATCGCCGACGATGGCGTGCCAGTCTGCAAGGGCCATAAGGTGCCGCAGACGGAGCGGCATGGTTTGGCATCGGCGGGCATCGTGCTGCGAAACACGGGTTTCCGCTGGAGTATGGATTAATGCTTGAGGAGGAGTGGGACAGGATGCGGGATGTGAGCAAACATGTGATGCGGTGGTGCGTAATTCGGTTGTGGACGAGAGACCGCCGCCCGTCGACGGCAAGGAATGGGGGCCATCCTCTGTTCGGCTGGATACCGGTAAATGGGTGACGGTGAGCCGCCCTGGGAATAGATGCAAGACTGCTGTGCTGAACCGCAGCCGGCCCGAGTTCATCTTCAAAGAGGAAATCGGCGTCTCTTGCGCTTAATGGATGCACACAAGCGCAGGTGGGATAAAACAGCGGGCGACGTTGGCGGTGCTATGTACTGCCACGTGGCAGCCTGCTGTCGACCCGACATCCGCTGGAAGGACACGGTGCTGCATAGGGCAGTTGAGATGCCAAGCTGGCAGGCCAAGCACGTGGTGATGGCGATGGAGTGTTTGATGTACGCATTCGTCTGTAACCTCTTTGATCCGGCACCGGCGCACACTCCCGTGCTCAGCGAGCTGGTTGGCATAAGATGGCAGAGGGGAGATTTCCTGCATCGAGAAATAAGCGTGCGATCAAAGACAACTGTCCTCTCAGTGCACCGCTGACCGAGTGTGTTGAGCACCTACATTTGTGACTATTTATTTATCGCATGGGCGACAGCGGGAGTCCCAGCACGGCGACAACGCGTGGAATTCCCGGCGTCGCAGCGCAGCTCGTCTCGATGGCCGTCGGACGCAGATCTCTGCGACCGCAGATGGGGCGTTGACATTCATTGCGTTTTGCTTCGGGCATTTCGATGTTTTGGCACGCCAAATATAAGCCTTTACTAATCAGCGGGGCTCTCTGTGGCTACCGCGCAGACTTGTTGGAAAAGGCGTACCTCAACGCCACAAAAGTTCCAACGTGGGACCCCTTTCAACAGCGAAGGGATTGACATGACGCGCCGATATGCACACCGGTCCTCACGAACCGGTAGTGCGAGACATATTCAGTAACACAGTGAATAGACGCGAGGTCCTTGCAAGTCCTGAAAAGTCGTCGACTGTTCCTCAATGAAGGATTACGTCCACGAAAGGCATGACACAGAAGAGTGTTCCCCAGTCGCCTGGAGAGGCTGGTTTCTGCTTAGTACTTGAGCAGGACGCCTCTACATTCCTATCTCAGCATTGCATACTCTAGGGCGAGTGCTTCGCAATTGCGCCCTGCGCCGCCTTGCGAAGTCGCTGTGTCTTCATGTCCGCCCGGCACTAAGGGGCTGTGAGCAGGCAACACACTGTCCTCACTCAGGATATATTGAGGGCCCCGGTGTCGCGCGCGAACTTTCATGAAGCAGCGTAGGCATCGTCGTCTGTCGGCCTTTGCGTTGGAATAGGGCCCATTTGCACACACGCATACGCTGTGCGCCGCCCAGGATGCAGCGCCTGGTGTCGACGTGGGCGGAGGAGAGTAGCGCAAAGATATTCCCCTCGCTCACGTGGCGTCGGGGGGCCTTATCAGTCCTCTTGTGTGTAAGATCGCCGCACGTCTCATGCATTGGCCCCGACGTAGCACTCTGGATACGCCGCAAACGCAACAACCACCCGGCTTGTGTCGTGTTCTGCTGCTTTAAGCGTTGCGGTCCCCCTACAGCGAGCGGCCGCCGCCACATTTGCTGTGAGAATGTGTACGCGTACGAGGCGATACCAGCTGAGTAGGAGCTCTGTTGGCTTCTAGACCTGCTGGGGGATAGGCACGGCGGTAGCACAAGGTAAAGTGAGTGCTGTCTTCAATTCAACCGTTGGAGGTGGGAACTAAATGGGAGCCGGGGGGACCGACAGCCGCGGAAGGCGTGACCGCCGGGACAGCTAGACTGCTCCACCGAAGCCAGCGGCTTGTCTGATTAAGCGTACACCGAATGGGGGCGGGGCTTATGTTGCTCGTGAGGAGCAGCACGCTGAGGACTTCAGCTGCCTAGTGTAATGAGCATAGGTGTGCAGCCCAACATGGTATGCAGAGCATGTGCTGGCGCCAATAGCCTGTAAGTCACGTCACTGCACCATCTACAAGGCGGTCGCGAGATCGCGGTAGGAGGAAAAGGGCGGAGGCCGCCGGACTAGGAAGCCCGCCGTGTTGATCTTCTCCTGTGCGCTTGATAGCAACCAACGATATATTTGTGCGTCCCCCTGACGGAATTCACTTTACGAGGGGCGCCGAAAGCCGAGGCAGCTGGTCCTTAAACGTCGGTATGCGCCTGGGTGGGCGTCGTCAAAGACCTCTGCCAGCGGGTTTCAGCCTCATCGCTGACCGTGCCTCGAATCGTCCACCTGCGTCCGCCGTCCCTTGCTACCAGAGAAAGTGGACCGCACTTTGTCAACACCAGCGCGCAGTGTGCACTGATCTACGTCCCTTTTTCTCTAGGCTCGAATTTCGGCGCTGCACCAGAAACTCTGACTTCGAAAGTGACGGGCGCCGTGTAATTTGAAACGGGCGACCTGTTGAGGGACTTCTGCGGCGTCAGAAGAGTATTTGTCTGAGGAGTTGATGCCTGAGAAGAAATTTGGTGTGGAGACAACTGTCAGATGATGTTCACCTGCTGTCTTGAAGAGAATCGCCGACGATGTCGTTCCAGTCAGCATGGAGCCATAAGGTATGTCAAACGCAGAGATGTGCTCTGACATTGCTGGGGATCGTACTGCGGAGCACGGGTTTTCGCTGGAGTGTCGATTAACGTTTGAGCAGGAGTGGGACAGGATGCGGGGACGTGAGCATACTTGTGCTACGGGGGTGCGCATGTCGGCTGTGGACGAGAGACAGCCGCCAGTAGACGGGAAAGAATGGGGACCATCTTCTGTTCGGTTCGATACGGGTAGATGGGTGGCGGTGCGCCGCCCTGCGAATACATGCCGCACTGCAGCGCTGAACCGCGGCCAGCCCCGGGTTAACCTGTAAAGAGGAACTCGGCGCCTCTCCCGCTTATTGGCGGCACACAAGCGCAGGTGTGATAAAACAGCAGGCGACATTGACGGTTCTTTGCACTCTTGCTTGGCAGCCTGGTGTCGACTCGGGAGGCCCTGGAAGGACGCCGAGATGCACAGGGCAGTGTATATGCCATGCTGGCGGGACAAGCACATGATAATGGCGGTGGAGTGTTTGGTGTACGGAATCGTCTCTTATGTGTCTCTGATCCGGCACCAGCGCACATTCCCGTGCTCAGGGGGCTGACTGACACGAGCTGGCAAAGGGAGGCCTTCCTGGATAGAGAGATAAGCGTGGGATCAAAGACAACTGTCCTCTCGCTGCACCGCCGACCGGAAGCGCTGAGCAACTATATTTGTCAGTCTTTCTCTATCGCGGGCGCGACAACGGGAGCTCAAGCACGGCGGCAACGCGTCGAATTGTAGGCGTCGCAACTCAGCCTGTCTTTACGGCCGTAGGATGCAGACCCTGGGTCCAGATGGGGAGCGCCGAGATTCACTCCTTTTTGCTGCGGGCGTCCCAATGCTCTGGCACGCCAAATAGAAGCCTTTAGCAATAAGCGGGGCTCTTTGTGTGGCTACTGTGGAAACATGTTGGAGGACGCGTACCTCAAACCTACAAAGGCTCCAACGTGGGATTCCTTTCCCCAACGAAGGGACTGATATGACGCGCCGATATGCAAACCGGCGTTCACGACCCGGTAATGCGAGACATACTCAGCAACACTGTGAAGGGACTCAAGGTCCATGCACGTCCTGAAAAGTCGTCGACTGTTCGTCGACAAGGAACTACGACTACGAAAGGCATGACGCGGAAAGGTGTGCCCGGTTCACCTGGAGAGGTTCATTCCCGCTTAGTACGTGAGCAGGACGCCTCTACATTTCTATCGGGCGGTCGCGTACTCTAGTTCAAGTATTCCGCAGTTGCGCCCTGCGCCGCCCTGTGACGTGACTGTGTCACCAAACACTAGCTCGCTGTGAGCGAGCAGCACGCTGCTCTCACTCAGAATGTGCTGAGTGCCCTCGCCTCGCACGCGAGCTGTCATGAAGCAGCGCAGGCATCGTCGTCTATCGACGTCCGCGTTGAGATGGGGCGGCCTGCATACATGCATACGCTGTGTGCCGCTCGGGATGGAGCGCCTGGCGTCGTGCGCAGGGGAGTGTAGCTCAAACGCATGCCGTTTACTGAGATGGCGTCGCGCGGCCCACTCGGATCTGTCGCGCGTAAGCGCCTGCCCGTCTCACGCTTTGGCTCCCACTTAACGATCCGGAGACGCCTCAAACGCAAGAAGCGCACGCCTTTTGTCGTGTTCTGCTGCTCTGAGAGTTGCGGTCGCGATGCAGTGGACGACCGCTGACAGGCTTCCTGTGATGATGTCCACGCGTAGCAGGCGATGCCAGCGAAGTAAGAGCGCTGTTGGCTACTCGACCTTCTGGGAGGTTGACACCGCGGTAGCGCACCGTTGAGTAAGTGCTGTCTTGCAGTCAACCGTGGGAGGTGGGAAGTGAGCGGCAGCCGCGGCGACCGACCGCCGAGGAAGACGTGGTCGCCGCGACAGCTAGACTGCATCACCGAGGCCTGGGCCTCGTGTGATTACGCATACACGGAATGGGGGAGGGGCTCATGTTGCTCGTGAGGAGCAGCTCGCTGAGCACGTTAGTAGCACTGTGTGATGAGCATAGCTGTGGAGCGAAACATGATTTGCAGAGCATGCCCTGGCGCCAACAGGGAGTAAGTCACACCAATGCAGCGTCTACAAGGCGAACGCGGGGTCGCGGACGGAGGAAAACGGCGGAAGCCGTCGGACTAGGAACCCTGTCGTGTTTGTCTCCTCCTCTGCGTGTGACAGAAACCAGACGATATATTCGTGCGTACGCCTGACAGAACGCCTTTTCCGTGGCGCGCCGGAAGCCGAGGCAGCCGGTTTGTAAACGTCGGTTTCCGCCTGGGTGGGCCCTCGCCACAGACTTTTGTCAGGAAATCACCGCCACATCGCTGGCCGTGCCTCGCGTCGGTAACCAGTGTCCGCCGTCCCTTCTCGCAGAGAAGGTGGACCGCATGCCGGCAAATCCGGCGCGCGGTGTGCACTGATTTACATCCCTTGCTCTCGAAGATCAAACCTCGACTCTACAGTGAAGGCTATGAGCCCCAAGGTGACGGTTGTCGAGTGATTTGGAACGGGCTATCCGCTGAGGGGCTTCTGCCTCGACAGAATAGTATTTGTCTGAGATGGTGACGACTGCGGAGGAGTTGGGTGTGGAGACAACTGTCAGGTCTTGTTCCCCGGTTCTCTCGTATAGAATCGCCTGTGATGTCGTTCCAGTCTTCATGGAGCCATAAGGTAGGGCAAACGGAGAGACACGGTCTGACATTGCTGGCTTTTGTGCCGCGAAACACGGATTTCTGCTGGAGTATGGATTAATGTTTAAGAAGAGCAGGATAGGATGCGGGGATGTGAGCAAACATGTGCTACTGGGCTGCGTATGTCCGTTGTAGACGAGAGATCGCCGCTCCTAGACGGCAAAGAATGGGCACCATCTTCTGCTCGGCTCGATACGGGTAGATGGGTGGGGGCGAGCCGCCCTGCGAATACATGCCGCACTGCAGCGCCGAAGCGCGGTCAGCCCCAATTTAATATGTAGAGAGGAAGTCGGCGTCTTTCCCGCTTACTGGCGGCACATATGCGCAGGTGGGATAAAATAGCAGGCGACATTGACGGTGCTGCACACTCTTGCTAGGCAGGGTGCTGTCGACCCGGGATGCCTGGAAGAACGCCGCGCTGCACAGGGCAGTGGGGATGCCGTGCTGGCGGGACAAGCACGTGATAATGGCGGTGGAGTGTTTGGTGTACAGAGTCGTCTGTTGTCACTCTGATCCGGCGCCAGCGCATATTTCCGTGCCCAGGGAGCTGATTCGCATGAGGTGGCAGAGGGAGGACATCCTGCATCTAGAAATAACCGTGCGATCAAAGACAACTCTCCTCTCACTGCACCGCCGACCAAATGCGCTGAGCACCTATATTTGTCAGTGTTTATCTGGCGCGTGCGGGACAGCGGGAGCGCAAGCGCCGCGTCAACCCGTAGAATCTCGGCATCGCAATGCAGCTTGTCTCCATGGCCCTTGGACGCAGATCCGTAGGTCCGTAGATTTGGCGTCGGGATTCATTCGGTTCTTCTTCGGGTGTTTCGATGTTCACGCCAGATACAAGCCTTCATGAATCAGCGGGGCTCTCTGCGTGGTCGATTTGCAAACATGTTGAACGGAGCGTGCGTCAAACCCACAAAAGTTCCACCGTTGGATTCCTTTCAACAGCCAAGGGATTGATATGACGCGCCGATATGCAGACCGGTCTTCACCACCCGGTAATGCGAGACATACCCAGCAACACAGTTAATGGACGCGAGGTCCATGCACACCTTGAAAAGCTGCCGACTGTTCCTCAACGAAGGACTGCGGCCGCGAAAGACATGACGCGGAATGGTGTGCCCGATTTGCCTGGAGGTGTTCGCTTCTGTTTAGTACTTGAGCAGGACGCCTCTACATTTCTATCTCGCCGTTGCATACTTTAGGGCGAATATTTGCAACGGCGCCCTGCGCCGCCCTGCGAGGTCGCTGCGTCTTCCTGTCCAATTAACACTGACGGCCTGTGAGCAGGCAAGGCGTTGCTCTCACTCAGAATGTGTTGCGAGCGGTGGCGTCGCACGCCAGTTCTCATGAAGCAGCGTCGGCATCGTCGTCTATCGACCTCCGCGTCGGGATGCGGCCCGACCTGCATACATGCATACGCTGTGCGCCGCTCGGGATGTGGCGTCTGATATAGACGTGCGCAGAGGAGAGTAGCGCAAAGGTATGCCCCTCGCTGACGTGGCGTCCAACGGCCCTGCCAGACCTGTCATGTGTAAGCCCCCCGCACGTCTCACGCCCTGGTTCCGGCGTAACATTTGGGACACGTCGCAAACGCAACAATCACACGCCGTCTGTCGTGTTCTGCTGCTTCAAGCGTTGGGGCCCCGGTACAGCGAGCGGCCGCTGACAGGTTTCCTACGAGAGTCTACATGCGTAGCAGACAATACGAGGGAAGTAAGAGCGCCGTTAGCCACTCGAGCTGCTGGGGGGTTGACACCGCGGCAGCGCAAGGTAGAGTGAGTGCTGTCTCGCAGTCAGCCGTTAGAGATCGGAAGTGAGCGGGACCCGCGGGTACCGACAGCCGCGGAAGACGCGGCCGCCGCGACAGCTAGACTGCATCACCGAAGCCGGCGACTTGTCTGATTACGCGTACACGGAACTGCGGTGGGGCTTATGTTGCGCGTGGGGAGCAGCTCGCTGAGGACTTCACTAGCCCCGTGTGAAACATAGCATAGTTGTGAAGTCGTATAAGATATGCAGAGCATGTCCTGGCACCAATAGCCTGTAAGTCACACCAGTGCACAATCTGCAAGGCGAACGTGAGGTCGGCGGCGGGGAAAAGGGCGGAAGCAGCCGCACTAGGAATCCTGCCGTGTTCATGTCGTTCTCTGCGTGTGATAGGAACCAGACGATATACTCGTGCGTCTGCCGGACAGAATACATCTTCCGTGGCGCGCCGGAAGCCGAGGCCGCTGGTCCCTAAACGTCGGTATCTGCCTGGGCGGACCCTCGCCACAGACCTCTGGCAGAAGGTCACAGTGACATCGCTGACCGTGCCTCGCATCGTGAACCTGTGTCCGCCGTCCTTTCTAGCAGAAGAAGTGGACCACACGTTGCCAACACCAGCGCGCAGTGTGCACTGATCTACGTCTCTTTTCCTCTGGGATCAAACTTCGGCGCTGCGCCGCAAAAGGCAGAGTTCGGAAGTCACGCGGCCGTGTAATTTGGAACCGACCCTCCGCTGAGGGACTTCCGCGGCCACAGTAGAGTTTCTTCTGAGATGGTGATGACTGCGGAGGAGCTGGCTGTGGAGACAACTGTCAGATCATGTTCTCCGGTGGTATCGTATAGAATCGCATGCGGTGTCGTTCCGATCTGCATGGAGCCGTGCGATAAGGCAAACCGAGAGACACGGTCTGACATTGCTGGGTACCGTGTCGCGAAAGACGGGTCTCTGCTGGAGTATGCATTAACCGTTGGGCAGGAGTGGGGCCGGATGCGGGTACGTGAGCAAACGTGTGGTACCGTGGTGCGTAATTCGGTTGCGGACGAGAGGCCGCCGCTTGCAGAGAGCAGAAAATGGGGACCATCTTCTGTGGGGTTCGATGCGGGTGGATGGGTGGCGGTGAGCCGCCGGCAATCCCATGCCACACTGCTGCGCTGAGCCGCCGCCAGCCCTCACTAAATCTGCGAGGAGGAAGTCGGCCTTTCCCGCGCTTGCTAGGGGCACACAAGCGCAGGTGGAATAAAACAGCAGGCAACATTGACGGTGCTATGCACTCCCACGTGGGAGCGTGCTATCGACCCGAGATGCGCTGGAAGGACGCGGCACTGCATAGGGCGATGCAGATGCCAAGCTGGCGGGACAAGCACGTGGTAATGGCGGTAGAGTGTTTGGTATACGGAGCGTGGGCGACAAAGGCAATTCGAGCACGCCGGCTACGCGTAGAATTCCCGGCGTCGCAGCGCAGCTCCTCCCGATGGCCGTAGGACGCAGACCTCCGGGACCGCAGGTGGGGCGTTGACATTCATTGCGTTTTGCTTCGGGCATTTCGATGTTTTGGCACGCCAAATATAAGCGTTTACTAATCAGCGGGGCTCTCTGTGGCTACCGCGCAGACTTGTTGGAAAAGGCGTACCTCAACGCCACAAAAGTTCCAACGTGGGACCCCTTTCAACAGCGAAGGGATTGATATGACGCGCCGATATGCACACCGGTCTTCACGAACCGGTAGTGCGAGACATACTCAGTGACACATCGAATAGACGCGAGTTCCCTCCAAGTCCTGAAAAGTCGTCGCCTGTTCCTCAATGAAAGACTACGTCCACGAAAGGCATGACACAGAGGGGTTTTCTCTAGTCGCCTGGAGAGGCTGGTCTCTGCTTAGTACTTGAGCAGGACGCCTTTACACTTCTGTCTCGGCGTTGCATACTCTAGGGCGAGTATTCCACAATTGCGCCCTGCGCCGCCTTGCGAAGTCGCTGTGTCTTCATGTCCGCCGGACACTAAGGGGCTGTGAGCAGGCAACACGCTGTCCTCACTCAGGATATATTGAGGGCCCCGGTGTCGCGCGCGAACTTTCATGAAGCAGCGTAGGCATCGTCGTCTGTCGGCCTTTGCGTTGAAATAGGGCCCATTTGCACACATGCATACGCTGCGCGCCGCCCGCGATGCAGCGCCTGGTGTCGACGTGGGCGGAGGAGAGTAGCGCAAAGATATTCCCCTCGCTCACGTGGCGTCGGGGGGCCTTATCAGACCTCTTGTGTGCAAGCTCGTCGCACGTCTCATGCATTGGCCCCGACGTAGCATTTTGGACACGCCGCAAACGCAACAGCCGCACGGCTTCTGTTGTGTTCTGCTGCCTTAAGCGTTACGGTCCCCCTACAGCGAGCGGCCGCTGCCAGCTTTGCTGTGAGAAGGTGTACGCGTACGAGGCGATACCAGCTGAATAGGAGCTATGTTGCCTTCTAGACCTGCTGGGGGATAGGCACCGCGGTAGCGCAAGGTAGAGTGAGTGCTGTCTTAAGGTCAACCGTTGGAGGTAAGAACTAAACGGGAGCCGGGGGGACCGACAGCCGCGGAAGGTGTGACCCCCGGGACAGCTAGACTGCGCCACCAAAACCAGCGGCTTGTCTGACTGAGTGTACACCGAATGGGGGCGGGGCTTATGTTGCTCGTGAGGAGCAGCACGCTGAGGACTTCAGCCGTCCGGTGTAATGAGCATAGGTGTGCAGCCCAACATGGTATGCAGAGCATGCGCTGGCGCCAACAGCCTGTAAGTCACGTCATTGCACCATCTACAAGGCAGTCGCGAGATCGCGGTAGGAGGAAAAGAGGGGAAGCCGCCGGACTAGGAAGCCCGCCGTGTTCATCTTCTCCTCTGCGTGTGATAGCAACCAGACGATATATTCGTGCGTCCCGCTGACGGAATGCATTTTACGTGGGGCGCCGGAAGCCGAGACAGCTGGTCACTGAACGTCGGTATCCGCCTGGGTGGCCCTCGTTACAGACCTATGTCAAAAAATCACAGCGACATCGGTGACCGTGCCTCGCATCGGTAACCTGTGTCCGCCGTCCTTCGTCGCAGACATAGTGGACCGCACGTTGCCAGCACCACCGCGCAGTATGCACTGATCTACATCCCTTGCTTTCTAGGATCAGGTTTCGGAGCGGCAGCGAATTATCTCAGTTCAGAAGCGCCGGTCTCCGAGTGATTTGGAACGGACCATCCGTTGAGGGGCTTCTGCGGCTACAGAAGAGTGTTTGTCTGAGATGGTGATGACTGCGGAGGAGAGGAGTTCGGTGTAGAGACAACTGTCAGATCATGTTCTCCTCTGGTCCCGTGCAGAATCGCCGACAATGTCGTTCCAGTCTGCATGGAGCCATAAGGTACGGCAAACGGAGAGACATGGTCTGACATTACTGGGTATCGTGCTGCGTAACACGGGTTTCTGCTGCAGTATGGACTAATGTTTGAGGAGGAGCAAGATACGATGCGGGGGCGGGAGCAACCATGTGCTACAGCGGTGCGCTGTCTGGTAGTAAACGAGAAACCGCCGCTTGTAGACGGCAAGGAATGGGGACCGTCTTCTGTTCGCAGCGCTGCATAGGACAGTGGGAATTGCAAGCTGGCGGGACATGCACGTGATAATAGCGGTGGGATGTTTGGTGTACGGGGCCGTCTGCAATCACTGTGGTCCGGCGCCGGCGCATACTTTCCCTGCTCAGGGAGCTGGTTGGTGTGAGGTGGCAGAGGGAGGACTCCCTGCATCGAGAAGTGAGCGTGCGGTCGAAGACAACTTCCTCTCACACTGCGCCGCTGACCGAACGTGCTGAGCTCCTACATTTGTGATTGTTTACCAGTCGAAGGGGCGCCAGCGGAAGTTCGAGCACGCCGGCATCGGGTAGAATTCTCGCGGTCGCAACGCAGCTTTGTCTCCACGGCTGTAGAACCCAGATCCCAGGGTCCGTAAAGGGGGTGTCGAGATTCGTTTTGTTCTCCTTCGTGCCTTTTGATGATCTGGCGCGCCAAGTATAACCCTTTATCAATCAGCGGGGCTCTCTGCGTAGCTGCTGGACAAATTCGTTGGACCACGCGTACCTCGAACCAAAAAAAAATTCCAACGTCTGATCCCATCCAGTAGCGAGACGATTGGTATGACGCGCCGATATGCGAACACGGTCTTCACGACCCGGTAATGCGAGACATACCCAGTAATACAGTCAATGGACGCGAGGCCCATGCATATCCTGAAGAGCTGTCGACTGCTCCTCAATGAAGAACTACGGCTACGAAAGACGTGACGCGGAAATGTCTGCCCGATTCCCATGGAGAGGTTCATTTGTGCTCAATACCTGAGCAGGACGCCTGTACATTTCTACTCCTCGCCGTTGCGTGCGAGTATTCCGCGATTGCGGCCTGCGCCGCCTTGCGAAGTCGCTGTGTCTTCATGTCCGCCGGACACTAACCGCCTGTGACCAGGCAACAGGTTGCTCTGACTCAGAATGTGTTGAAGGCCCTCGCCTCGCACGCGAGCTCTCCTCAGGCAGCGTCGGCATCTTCGTATATTGGCCTCCTCGTTGAGATGAGGCCGGCTTGCGCACATGCGTACGCTGTGCGCCGCTCCGG